GCTCGACTCTTGAGCTCTTCAAATTTTTCTCCACCTTCTTGGTTGATTCTCCTTGTGTTGTGCTCTAATTTCCCACAAAAATACCAAAAAAATATAAAGAAAGAAAAAAAAAGGTTAGGAAGGAGATGGAATGAAGAATGAGGCAAAGGGCTAGATTTTTTACTTTGAAATGACCTAAAATCGTGCCCAAAAAAATTGTAAAGATGCCCCAAATTTTGGAAAAACTTAAAAATCGGTCCTAGCTGCGGCGCTGGCACCTAAGCACCCAAGTTCAGTCATAATATTTAGAAGATTGGCGCCTAGGCGCTACACCTTCCTCACACTTTTTGCAACTTAAGTCGCCAAATAATTACATGTTAGGTCCCTCAACTTTGATTTTGTACAAACCCAAGTTCTTTCCTAATATTTAGAAGATTGGCGCCTAGGCGCTACACCTTCCTCACACTTTTTGCAACTTAAGTCCCCAAATAATTGCCTGTTAGGTCCCTAAACTTTGATTTTGTACAATTTGGTCCTCAAACATTTATTTTCATATCAATCGTGCCCTCCAAAATTGAAGCCTCAGGTCCTTGAACTTTCTAACTTGTTCACTTTGTTCCCAATTCCAAATTTTGTACGATTTTGATCATTTTCTCTTCCTTTTTACCTTGTTTTATTTTCTTGGATGATTTTTACCTACAAAAGTAATAATTACATAATTGTAAGCAGAAATTCGCTTATTTAATCAATATTTAAGCTTATTTAGGTATTACATAAGTGTGCAGAAATTTTCTTATCAATCAACAATGAACAATCTCTATAAATACTAAAAATTTTGCAATATTAAAAAATGAGTTAAAATAACAAGAATAGTGAGAGAGTAGACATTCTTGAACGCATTGGTTGCATCCAAAAGAACTTTAAAAAATGTCATGATCTTAAAAGCCAAAATATGTCAAACACAACAAAAATTCGCATCAAAATTCAAATGAGGATGGTTAATCAATTTTTTAATAATACTAGTCTTTGCCTCGTATGTTGCACGAGTTTTGTATTTATATTATTATTAGTGCGGAATGTGAAGAATTTAGAAAAAGTATTTACGAAGTTTAATGGATTTTTTTGAACCCCTTTTGAATTGTTAATACTCATATAGCAAATTGCAGAAAGTTTCATTTAAGAAATTATGAATAAAATAAATCCGAATTAAAATGAACGTTCCACGAGATTAAAGAACAAATAAACTCAACAAAATATTAACAACCCCAAATTTTAAGAAAACAAAAGTAAACTCGACTTCTAATTTCCTAACCCACTGAATATTCTTTATAAATTCACCTAATTATGTGCTACTTAGAAACTCAACAATGAAAGTGTACGCGCCAATACTTGATCTTGTAAATCCCTTTACCCCCACAAATAAACAAACAAAAAAAGGAAAGTAAAAAAAAAAAAAGAAAAACATATTTATTCATACATAACACCAAATCCACTACAAAAATGCAAATATGTTTCATCAATGTTAAGAAAAGCATATACATCTGCAGTAAAAATTGATTATGAAAAAGCAAGCTCAAAATGCTGACCATCATTTGGATCTATGTATGCATTTGTCGAAAATCCTACACAATCCTCAAATTGACATACAATAAACCATATATTTTCTTTATATGGTGCTTTGTAAGATAATTATTAAAAGTTGATTATTACCAGAATTTGTGTTTTCACTTTGCTCTTTGGATGAATTGATTTGGCACTATAAACACTTAGGCAATGTTGGAAATGCTGGTTTTATTTATTATATTTGTTAATGATCAGCTTATCAAATGAAGATTGGCAGAAGTTGTGATCGAGAAAGAGATTAGCCGGGTTCTTGTCCATTGATTTTGTGAAATGGATGTCGTCCTAGTTTATGTTTTTCCTCAATTCTTTGTGCATCAATGTTTCCGTAGTGCCACACAAGAGCTGCAAGTTGAAATCAAGTTGTCCTTCAACAAATTTCTAGCGTCCTTTAAAATGTTTCTCGATTTGGTACGCTCTCCTGCATAGAGTGAATGGAGTATACATTCTCTCTGTGCACAGAGTGTGCTCCACTCCTTCCGTGCATCGAGGAACGTTTCACTCCGTGCATGGAGTGTGCTCACGGAGGAACACCATTAATTTTAATTTTAATTTTTTTAATTTTTAATAAAATAAATTCGAAATATTAAATGTCAAAAATCTAGGTAAGAGGAGTGCGTGTGACTTTTTTTTTTTTTATATATATAATTGTATGTTAGAAAAACTTCATTCTATATTTACCTTTTCCACATAATTTTGATTTTAAAATCAATAAATCATTCATCAAAGACCCAATAAACTTCAGAAAAAAGAAGAAATTTGTGTGGTGAAATGGAGAATAGCTGAACAGCAAACGTGTAAGGGAAATAGTTGAACAGGAAAAGACGTTGTTTTTGCTCTCCTACAATTAAAAAAAATGGCTACATTGTGACAAAATGGAACAATCCACTATTGATATCTACAATAACTCCACATTCTCATTTTAGGGATTTAATTAATAATTCCAAACAATAATTAATTTTATAGTAATCTTTTTATTAATATTTAATTTAAAAAATTAAATATATTTATTTGTTAAAATTAGTGGCGGAAAGAGATGGAGGCCAATGGGTTCAATGAGGAATTTGAGATATTTATATTTGTAAAAAAGACTCTGTGCACAATCACCTCCACTGCAATATTTTTCTATTTTCACACACTAGTTCACATCATCCAATCCAACTAATGAAGAAAAGAAACCGAATGATTTAACAAATTAAACAACAACAAAATTACAACAAAAAATAAAAAAATAAAAAAAAGTTATTATAAAGCTTTTTAAATTAAATTGAAATAATTAAAATTAAAAATAAAATTATTTAATTCAAATTAAAAAAATTTCGTTTTAAACAAAAAGAATTAAAAAAATTATAATATGAAGAAAAAAGAAATTTTAAATCAATTTTCAAAAAAATATAATAAAAATTAAATAAATTTAAGGAAATTAAATAAAGAATATATAAATGTTATTTAGTTAAAAATGAAGAATTAAGTTTTATTATGAACAGAAAAGAATTGAAAAGAATTTTAAATTGAAAAAAAAAATTATCTATAATGTGAATAAAAAAAAAATCTCTCGTTGCACGGAGACTTTTGCCTTGGTGCACGAGATGTCTTCATGCATGGAGACTCTCCATGTCTACATGCACAGAGACATGGAGATATATATATATATATATAATTCTTTTCTCTTCAATTTTTTACTTACAAGTAATTTTTTACATTTTAGAAATATTTTCTATCTTATTATTAGTATTTTTATTTTTAATAATTCCAAACGATATTTAATTTTATAGTAATCTTTTTATTAATATTTAATTTAAAAAATTAAATATATATAAATATTACTTTAAATTTTAAACTAACTCAGTGGGAGATATGAAAAGTTGCGTGTTGCAGTAAATTTTGACGTATATTGTATAATAAAATATACACTAAAACAAACAGTATCGTTTTTGCTCCTCCATTTGAAAAAAAAAAAAGTTGCTACAGTGAGACAAAATGGAACAAGTCACTGTTGATTTTTACTGTAACTTCACATTCTCCTTTTTATATAGTAGAGATTAGAGTTAACATTAACATTATTAAAAGTAAAATTGCAGACTTTATTTTCTCAATAAAATTCTCTAAGTACGCCCAATAAAACTTTGAAAATTCAATGACCTTAAATACAAATACGTTTTTATACATGATCCAAAGCTTATATCTTTTATGCATTTTTTTTTCTTTTTCTTTTCCGAACCTTGCTTTAGAAGGCCCCTCTTCGCTTGAACCAAATTGAACTCCTTCAACATCAATATGAACAAGGCATTTAGTTTCCAAGTGAAGTCCCTTCTCCTGTAAATTCAATTTGCTTTTCATAATCTACTAGTTTTTCTCGATTGTCTTCGTTTTCTTAGTGTTTTCAACGTTCGGAATTAGGTTCATGAGACTTTGCCTCTTTTGTGTCTTTGTAGAGACACTTCTTCTAATTGACATTTTTCGAATTTGAAATATGGCAAGATTGAGAAAAATTATAGACGAAATATTAAAACTACTGAAAAATTTGTTAACATCCTCGTCAGGATTCATTCATTCAGTGTAATTCATAATGAGTTATGTAGAAATTTAGGAATGAAAGCTATAACTGAAAGAAGCAATTGGTAAAAGAAAAATTAGAGTTGAAGATATATTTTAAAACAAAGTAGCTACTGTGTTGTAAAATTGGTTTATCACTTATCCTGTTTATAGACTCTGAATTGAATAAAAAAATTATTCAAATTTTAAAATCTGAATCGACCGTCGATTAGATGGCACCATGTCGAGAAATATAACCGCTCAATTGCAGTCTGCATGGCTACTTTAGCAGCCCTACAATAGGCTCGCCTAACCTCGACTTGCAAATCAATAAGTGGCGCACACAAGGTTTTCGTTATTCGACCTTCATTAGCAATTCACATCGTGTGTGAGTCGATTCAGTTCGGCTGGTTTGCAGGACATTAACTCGTCTCACTTAACACCCCTAACAATAACATAGTGTAAGTTGCAATTTCCAAAAAATTATACATACCGTAACATGACTTAAATGTAAGTTACAATCATTATATTTTAAATACTTTTTTATTTACATGATTTTTAAATTTGTCCCCTTTGTAGTTGTGAGATTAACCCTTAAATGCTCTTTATCCAAAAGCAATTCTACCATTTTTGTGTAAAGCCCAACAGCAATTTTGATTTTCTCGTATATAGAATGATAATATGTTTGCCAAGTTAACTTGTAGTTAGCTTGAGATTATAAGTTCCACAATGGGAAATGACAATATGATTAATTCTCTCACTATTTTGATTCTCTAGTGCATAATGAAATATTGAAGTTTAATTATTCATTTTTGTAATATAAAAAATTAAAATCTATAAATATTTGTATTGTAAGAAATTAAAAATTATTATACAATTTTCTTGTATCATATCGTCAAATTTTAAGTGATATTATCGAAAGTCTTATGCATCGCACCTTTCAATATCCTTAATAGCGAGTTACCCCAACTACCAAAATGAAAACCGAGCATTTTGTGGTTGAGAAATGCCTAATCCCGTCCTACCTTCGACATATTACCACACGTTGAGCCACAAATCGTAGATTTCGGCCAAGAAGGTTTTTACACTTTGAAGTTTGACACATTATGCAATTCATCCGGAACTAGTAGTTACCTTTCTTGCATCAAGATCCAACAAGACCCCTACGTCGAGCATATGAGATTATTGATAGAAAAAGGGATGCACAAGAAATTCCTGCAAGGATCACAACCTATATGAAGGGAAAAAAAAATTATTTAGCTTAAAGGACTTAATAAACAAAAAAAGGAACAAAATGTTTGTGTTTTGATAATCAAATGATGTCCGTACCCATTTAAATATGTAGCCATGGTCGTGTTTCCATGGATATGGAATGTTCATTCCGAAAATGGCAGCCACTAAAGAATACATAGACAAGCAGAGAGTACCAGAACTTAGGAATAGCTCCAGCTGCAGAGTAAGAAAAGAGTTTATTTAACTGTAACTCATCTTTCTTACAAACGAGTCTATTACCACAAAATTTACAACAGGATTGAACATGTTATATTTCGGAGCACGTAAGCATAGGACGAAAGCGAGTTTAATATAAAGAGATAAAGTCATCCTGCACCTGAATTAGCTGATTACGATGATTGTCCAACTGCAACAAAGGAGACAAAATTGTCAACTAGGATAAATTGTGTCATAAACATTTGACAACGATTCGGCCTGTGCTCAAGCCATTAACTCATACATACTATTCACTTTGGTAGAGTCTGCGCCCTTCTACCCATCACGAATTTATATCACGCCTACTATGATTTGAAACCTTGACCTCTACATTATGAAAGACTTAAATCGAATCCAAAGGGACGTGAAAGGAAATCCGTGAAGAATAAGATGGGTATAGACTCTCTCAAAACGGATAGTACATTTGAGTTAACGACTCAGACACATGCTCGGGTCGTTAAATGCGGATTCAAACTTCATGCAAAAGTTAGCGACTATACTAATTGAAACTATTATTCTTTAAGAATGAAGAATCATCTTCGTAACATTAATTCCGATAAACTTCGTTCTGTAATTGAATTAGTTCATATAATTGCTTAGATCAATGCCGGGATGCACCTGAATATTAATGTAGTCCTCCGTGTCATCAATGTATTCCCGCAACTGCCAGAAAAAGAGCAGCCAAAATGTCATATACGAGAACAGATTCTTTAAATTTGTTGTCCTTCAAAATCCCCGTGCAAAAGGTTTTTCTTTGGAGCAAGTAAAGAATCCTATTTTCATCACTTCTTTTTGTTTTACGTACATATAGATTATGTAGTAAATTGAAGTTAATGGTACATACCGTAGTCAACTTGTTCATCGTGCTCTCGATTTGCATAAAGTAAGCCTGCAAAATGATATTTATCGTTTATCCTTCAGCATATCCATCAAGACTAATATAAGAAAACGAAGTTACTTTTCATTCTATTAACAACCTCAAGCAACATTTCAAGTTCTTCTACATTATCCTCTGCACGAGTCGTTACTGCACTTGCTCTGCTAGTTCTGGAAATCTTTGAATGTATTGTTGGAGAGTCAGAAAACCATTTAGGAATTCCAATATCACTGAGGGGTGAAGCAGAAATCGCTGATTTCCTTGATAGATAAAGATCTGCCATGTAATCATCATCATCTAGAAGTTCTTCGAGTTCATCCCTTACCTGGAAATAGCATCGCTCTGAGGTATATGTACAGGAAGATGTTTATTACCATTTCGTTTCGAATTTTGTCTATGAGAAGCCAAAAATATGTGCAATTTAATTAATTATTCACCATTAAATTGCTTCTATAAAGATTGGATTTACGTGTTGACAGGTGTGATATTCAGAATTTGATTCTCAGAGTTAATTTCAGAGAAAGAAATGGAAATTGAGAAATTCTTTCCACCATCATTAGTGCCTCCATGAAGCAAGTAATTAATAATCGGTCTTGTAACATAGCTGATAGGGCAACATATAATGAACGATGAGTCTCACTAGAGCAGTTGTGGCTAAACGTAAAAGTTACTTCCCAGAAGTAAGGTAAGACTTGCATTTGGATAAGTTTTGTTAGTAAAATAAGTAACTTTTGCCATAACTCTCCGGCAAATACATTTACTTTGACAGACGAAAGAGAGCGAAAGAGAGGGAATGAGGATACCTTTTGTACTCGGTTGGTCAACCTTGTCATGGCACTCTTCATTTTTCGCACTCGATCCAAGTTATAACTGCTAGTCTGCATAGAATCATAGGAAGTGTCATGTTTAATTTATATAAACAACTTGAAACACACACATGCCATCAGTGTTTCAATGCTGTATAGCTCATTGAAACTTCATATCAAAACTAGCTTAAGCTTGCAAATTTTGCAATATTTGTTGCAATGAAACTTCAGTCTTAGTTCTAATATTCTAATCAATACCATGGTATATTCATAAATTATCGAAAGACAAGAATGAAAAAAACAAGCAATTTCGTCATATCATTCCTCACCTTAGCCGTTAACTCATCTAAAGCGGGATAAGCAGCAGTCTCCAATTCTCGAGTTTGTGAGTCAAGAAAACTAGATATGCCTTCTAATGCTACTTCCAGAGCTTTAAATTCAAACGGGAACTCTACATTTAGTCATTCAAACCATCAATAAGCGTTCGAATAACTTGCACTTGTAATGAACAAATTATCATCAATTTCTGCTATTTTCAGTATTCGGTTATAAGAACAGGTAAAAAACAGTATAATTAATAAGAAGAAGACGGAAATTCGCAAATAAAATTTCAGAAGACAGGGTGTACCAGTTTCTTCATCAGAGTCATCTTCGGTTTGTGCTTCAGGCAGCTCATAATCTTCTCCTTCGCCTCGGCCAATTGCCAAAGGTAATCTTCTTTGAAGTTCCTCAACAACAGGAATAACATTTTCATCAAGTGGATCGCGAATCAATACCTATTCTTGAAACATCCA